AGATAGTCTCGGAGGCTTTCGGTCTCCCCCTGTTGCAGACCCATGAGTTCTGCAGTAGTCTTCTCTCGGCGGTTTGCCGTGGAAAACTTGCTCCTAAATTTGGAGGACAGATCATCCCACCCTGTTATAGAGCCTTGCTTCACTCCCTTGGAGATCCATGCTTGCGCGACCCCCTTGAGAGTGGTTGGAAAACATTTGCACCAAGTCGCTTCGGATCTGGGGCAAAGATGCATATGAGCCTCATACGAGGCAACGTGGTCCTTCGGATCCGAAGTCCTATCATATGTGATGTGCGACGGTATTTTAACCGTGGGCACGTGCTCTTCCAGTATCCATTGCTCGAATGGGGAACTGGTGGGTAGCATAACGGCCTTGCCCTTGTTCCTGGTCGAAGGGACCGCGCTCCACCCTCTTAGAGAGGTAGGAGTGGTTTTCGTCCCTGGCTGGGAAGTCTGGGCCTCGGCTGCAGGGAACGAGAGGCGACTGTGCACGCTCGGTTCCTTGCCGCCGAGTCGGTCGAGGACGCTTCGGCGAACAGTCTCAGGTTGTTCTCGGCGAGCAGATTCTGGCCGAGAAGCTGAGCTGCTGCTCTTATGCGTTTCCGGTCGGGAGGTCGAGGATCCTCCAAAAAATTGAGGGTTATTTTTCCTCTCTCTTTCAGTTTTCCAGGTATCCTCTTCCCACTCTTCCAGTTCCCGGAAGGAAGGAGGTTTCCCACCATCATGGTCTAGCTTCCTCCGTTGATGCCGGGTATGCGGAGGAGTTCGATCGCGAGGTGGCGGCATATTTTGTGCCCTCATTGCCTCCATGAGCACTGCCAACGCTCTCGCCACCTCCTCCGAGTTGGGCCCCGTCAAAGGGGTCCTCCGCTGAGTGTGGGAATGATAGCGGACGGTCGATGGTTGGCTTTGGGGCACTGAATGGGTCCTATGATCGGACTGACCCCTGCTAGACAGAGAGGGACTCGGCCTATGATGAGAGTTGTGAATTACGGGAGAAAGGGAATCCTCCCTGTATGATCCTCCCCCCGAGCTGGCACCCTTGGGAGAGTTCCGGTCCGGTGAGGGTGATGGTGTAGGGATTTTAGGCTTTTCGCCTGCTCCTTGACGAAGGCTTTTGCTTTTGCGGTTCTTAGCCATTGCTACTAAGATAATTGCAAGATGATTTTGGTTAGAAATTTGGCTTAAAGATTTTTGAAAGTCGTCCCCACAGACGGCGCCAAATTGTTTCGGATGAAAACAATGGGACCTTGTCGAAGGTCCGATGAAGTGGAGAAGACTGGATTCGGTCCAAGTGATGTTGGGCCGAAGGTTTCCTGCACAGCAAACACACGTAAACTAGCCTCGGGGGTGTTGCCGAGGGAGGCCCCTCCGATGCTAAAGTCAGTACAGTGTGTAGAAAGAGAATGCTATGCAAGAGAATTAATTGCTTGAGGCTTTGTTTGAACGAATGTACAAATGTAATATTGATGGCTTTTATACCTTTGCATATATGGAGAAGTTGGGCCTTAGCCCAATTGACTTGCCTTGTGGACTGATCTTGACTTTAGCACAATTGGAGAGGTGAACCTTGACCTTGGGCTTTTAATTGGATCATTTAATGACTAGGCCCAATTGGACTAAATTGGACCCAAACATCAAGTATCATACAACTGATACTAGTATAACAGTCTCGCACAAGATTTTACTAAAACTACCATAATCAATGGACATTAGGTGCAATTCATACCTAATACAGAGTATTAATAACAGATTAATAAAAAGGAACCTGATTTTGATCCCAAAGATCATTGAAGATGACAGGTTCAGCAGTAGCCCTAAAAATGGTGACATCACCCAAAACATCGACGATATTATCTGGAACTGGTGCATCAAAAGAAGTATTATTCCAGAGTTTTCTAGAACTGAGTGAAATCGAACTGGTTACAACTCGAGACGAGAAAGAAACAGAGGAAGGTGAAGTGGGTAAACGTGATAAGCGGAATTCATGAATTTGATGAAATGCAGAAATAGGTTCAAGATTAACATATCGACTTCCTGTTGTTGCTGATGATACCTCCATTTTTTTTTTGTTCTTAATTTCACTAGTTTGTGACTGTTCTTAATTACTACGTAATTGATTTATTAATTAATTGATCAAGAACAAGTACGAGTACACCGTGAAAATTCAGGTACTTCAGATTTAAGACGGTATTTCAAGTTTTCAGTGGCGGATCCTGGCCGAAAATATTAAAGGGGTTGGGTTTTAAATATTTTACCACTTGCTCAAAACTAATTCTATATCCCAATATTTTATAAGTAAATATAGGTTATTTAACTTTATTTACTAATTATTTACGATAACTTACGGGGGGGCTGGCCCTGAATGACCCCGGTGGAAGGTCGCCTCTGCAAGTTTCCAACCAAATACACCTATTTATTATTTTTTTTTTAATGGATAAACGAATTAGAATACAGTCACACAAGCCAACAAAATCTTCCTAATCGTATTGTGCCAAAAATAACAACTTGCGCCGTACTGCTTTATGGTACTTTTGTTTTTGATTTTATTGTATTAAAAAATCATTTTAGCGTATTTTATTAATTTTACCTTACTTTTGACAACATGGTTTTAAATAAGGAAAAATGTAAACTAATAATCCCACCTTTAGTCGGTCTTCCATAAACAATCCCACATTTTAAAATTCCAGAAATAATCCCACCTTTAACATGGATCTTCCATAAACGATCCCTATGACCTATAACCGGTCAAACTTTTATTTATTTTTTTAAAAATTCATCTTCTCCCACCTTCCTTGAGTCCCTTCTATGAACTGCCACCAAAGTTATCACCAGTCCACCACCTCCTCAACTCCTCACTCGTCATCGGCCACCACTCACCCAGCCATCACCAATCGCAACCCTCACACAACACCACCAACCATAAACACCTTTCCACTCCTCCACCAACAAGCCCCCTTACACCCACGCAACCTCTAGCAGCACCTAAAGGCTAAAGGCCGAAAACCCCACACCCACCATCCACGACTTCTTCCGCCGCGATTCAACAAACCCACCCACCAAATAAAAATCCCACACATCATCGATCCTCAAACGCAACGTTGCGCAACGCGCCACCAATGTAGCGCCCACTTGCAGGCCGCCGATCCTCCATATCCAACAACTACAACATCAATTCACACCCACAAATCAGCCCTAAAATGGGTAAAATCAGCCCCAAAATTAAATTAAGAAGGAATAATTGGGGTCGATTATGGGCTTTGGAGCCTGCAAACTTCGTCTCAAGCCCCGAAAAACCAGACTCATCCCTGAAAAATCAACCCCCAACCACGACAAACTCCATCCCAATCCCAAAATCCCCACCTAGCCCTGAAAACTCCCCTCGAAAACGCCCTAACCACCCTAAAAAAACCCCTTTGTCAAGCTTCCGATTGGCTGATTGTTGGGGAAGGCAGGGGCAGGATGAGGAAGGGAAAGGGGGTCGTTAGGTGTGGCTGAGTTTTTTTTTTTTTTTAATTATTAAAAAATAGAATAAACCAATCAATAGTCAACACGTGTCTTGTAACCTAATAAAACCGGTTAGCAAAACAATCCAACCGGTCAGGGATTGGTAGTGGAAGATCCCTATCAAAGGTGGGATTGTTTCCGAAATTTCAAAAGGTGGGATTGTTTGTGGAAGACTGACTAAAGGTGGGATTATTAGTTTATATTTTTCCTTTAAATAATTTAACACAAAAAAAGACGTTATATCAATCCTAGGATCTCCTAGCATTGGGAAGAAAGTTCCCTAATGATACATATTATACAACTTCAATAAACATAAGTGCACCATGACTATTGTGCATCATAGTGCACCAACTTGTTTGCAATCTCTACAATTAATTATTATCATCATATGACATAAACTCAAGTGTTGCTAATTGAGAGTTGATCACGAGCAGAGGTTTGCTCTGACTCAAGCTTGTTAAGGTTTCGAGTTGAGCCAAGTTGATCACGAGTTGCTCGTTTAAAGGTTTTGGTTTCCTAAATTTCAAACATTTGTTGATTACTTGATTATTATTATTATTATTATTATTATTATTTATGCATAATTTTTTTTCTACTAAAGTGCATTCAAATTTATTAAGTGGTAAGGTAAACTTTTGATTTTGTCGATAAAAGAATAGAACAAGTTGATTCGAGCAAACACGAGCCAATTGGACACAACTCACATGAGTGGCAAGACAAGCCATACAACACAAGATAAGGGGTCGAATCTCGCGCTAAAGAGATTTCTAAATCACCCATCAAGTTTGCTTAACAATGCACACCAAATTTAGAGCGGAAGATTGCATGCACCTTCATCTCTGATTCTTTGTCACCTTGTCCTATGACTCTAAAAAGAAAAGGGCATGTCGGTACCATCATTAGATTACCAAATCAAATTCATTAATCATTACTTAAATTGTCTAATTTTTTTAATACAACAATGGAATGTTTGAAGCAGCAATCTTCAACGTTCATCACGAATCAGAGGCAATCCCAGTGCAGCAGCAACCTATTATATTCCTCAATTTTTACTTCTTAAGTGAGGTTAGTATTTTACTATGCAATAATTAAATTAAGATTTTAGACTTTTTGGATGTAATTTTTATATTATATTTCTGAATTGGTAATTCAAACAACTTTACAGTGTCAAGTCACTGCCTAATATTGACATTTTCTGAGTTGTTGGTTTGCTATTCATTCATTCAACTACATAATATATTAATCTCCCCAATATTATTACAATTTCGAAGACTTTTCATTTGAATTATAGTGCGCTCCAACGTTCGAGTTGAATTTACCATCCCCGTGAATTATTTTTTTAAAATTTTTGTAACTTAACGGTAACTCGACAAAAATATGTTCATAAATCATGTGAACAAAATTAAACTAAAACCCCCTTTTTTTTCATTTCAAAAAAGTTGCAACCTTTTCATTTTAATTCTATACAAATGATGAGATTATTACCTTTTTCTTAACCACTTATAAATATCCGACCAAATGAGTTTATAATTATATCACCCTCAAATTTAATTCTGATTTTTTTTCTTTTCATCATTATTTCTTCTAGTCTAAGTGAAGATTCAAAGAAACAAAATTTTTTAACAACCCGTGTTGTTCACTTTACAGCCTTTTCCTCTGTTTTTTCTCTGTCTTCATTCCCTGCCAAAAAATTCACACATTCTTCATTTAAATTTTGATCTTTGCAAATCATCAAATTCAAATTACAACCCACTTCTAAAAATGCAAAATTTAAGATGGGTTCTGAAGCTTTTGCTGATTCTTTCATTATTTGGTCAATTGTCCAAATCCCAAAATCATGAAACTGTAATCTCAAATTGTAATGCAGCTGATAGAGCTGCACTTCTTAGCTTCAAATCAAAAATAATCAAGGATACTACAGGAATACTTGAGTCGTGGACCGGCTCCGATTGCTGCGGAGAAAGCTGGGAAGGAGTTGAATGTAATCCTTCAACAGGAAGAGTTACTGCATTACAACTGCAGAAGCCTTCTGACAGTGACAGTATCAGTGATGATATTTTCATGGCAGGAACATTGTCACCTGATTTAGGTAACTTACAGTTTCTAGAAGTGTTAGTGATCAGTGGAATGAAACACATTACAGGAAACATTCCTGATACAATCTCCAACTTAAGACACTTATCACAGCTTGTCCTAGAGGGAAACTCGTTTGTGGGGCCCATTCCTTCCGGCTTCGGCCGCCTGTCATCCCTTAAAACACTCATGTTAGACGGTAACCGTCTTAGAGGTCAATTGCCAACTAGTTTAGGTAATCTCAAGGGTCTCCTACAACTAAATTTAGGAAAAAACTTGCTTTCTGGTCCTATCCCACCTACTTTTAAAAACCTTCAGGGTCTGCAGTTTCTTGATCTTAGCAGAAACTTACTGTCTGGTGTAATTCCTGAATTCATCGGGCAGTTTCGTAATCTGACATTCATTGAGCTTTCTAATAACCGGCTTTCCGGTCCAATCCCGGTATCATTCTGCAGTCTTACTGCACTTTCAGATGTTTCTCTTAGTGGAAACCAGCTTACAGGAAAAATTCCTGACAAAATTGGTGGTCTGAAGTCACTTACTAGTCTTTCCCTCAGTAATAATCATCTTACAGGTCAAATTCCTGAGTCTCTTGCTAGTTTAAAGAACTTATGGTACTTGAATTTATCAAGCAATGCACTCCAAAATCCTTTGCCAACTTCTTTTGTCAAAGGTTTAGGCTTGCCTTCTTTGCTGTCAATTGATTTGTCCCACAACAAACTTAGCTTAGGGACAGTTCCTAATTGGATTAGGACCAGAAAACTTACTGCTGTTCATTTAGCTGGTTGTGATCTTAAAGGGACTCTTCCTACTTTCATTACACCTACCCCTTTAACCTCTATTGATTTCTCCAATAATCATTTCATTGGTGGTATCTCAACTTTTTTAGCAAAAATGTCAAACTTGCAGTTTCTGAAAATTTCCAAAAACCAGCTCAAGTTTGATGTTTCTAGCATTGTCTTACCTAGGGGAATATCATCTATTGATCTCAGCTCGAACCAGCTCTTTGGACCGCTTTCGGCTTTCATCAATAACCACACAACCAGCTTCCTAGAGGTTATTGATGTCTCAAGGAACATAATTTCAGGCACTATTCCTGAAATTAAAGAAGGGCTGTCACTGAAAGTTTTAAACATTGGGAGTAACAGGATTACAGGACATATACCAAACTCAATCTCAAACTTAGTTGAGTTACAAAGATTTGATATACGCCGTAATCAAATCTCCGGTACCATCCCCTCGAGTTTAGGACTACTTGTGAAGCTACAATGGCTAGAACTGTCCATCAACCGCCTCACCGGAAACATTCCAAACAGCTTGCTTGGAATTGTTAACCTGAGACATGCTAATTTCAGGGCAAACAGATTATGTGGAGAAATACCACAAGGCAGACCATTCAACATATTTCCTGTTGTAGCTTATGCACACAATCAATGTTTGTGTGGAAAACCCCTGCTTCCTTGCAAGAAGGAGAAGAAGAACCCACCTCAAATGGGCCAGTAAAACTAGCTGACTCTTCTTGATTGATAAGATACTCAAATTTGATTTCCACTTATATTGCCAACATGATGCTTTTCATGTGGTATAGTAGTTATTTATATTCTTTCCTTGATATGTTTGCCTCACAAACATCCTACATTGTACTTTGGTCATATTATAAAATTATCTATATTTTTATGTTCAAAATGTTTGGTTGCACATAAGCCGACTGTATTAGGCTAACGGTTACTTATGTTTCGTATTTTTTTGACCACTTAACTAACTTTTTTTCATTCTATATAATATGTAGTTTATAGAACATACTTGTATATGCTACGAAGCACTGGATTATTTACTATCAATGTCCTAAACCTTTGGAACTAGTCTAAAAGATGCTTTTTGTAGTTGCATATGTGAGTAATGTTATTTAAAGTTATATTACAAATATGACTAATAACTTAGTACTCATTTATCTGTCTAATCTGAATTAACAAAAGTTAATTGAGTTACTGATGTAATTTTATGCAAATCTTGTTCAAAGTTTTACCTTAATACACTATCTTGCCTGTACGGCTGTACTTTTCTTGTTAGCGCGTAATTTGTATATCCAATCTCCCCCATACATAGCTGCATTGCTGAGGCATAATCAGAGATTATGTTCATTGCTGATTAACAAAATTTTGAAAGCGCGGTTAATTATCATGCTATGAATTCCTTATCCTCTTTGTAAAATCTAAATCAACTCAAGCTATCATATTGAAAGATATGTTTGATTCTTCATGAAAGTGGATGTTTCAATTGAAAAACCAGAGTAAGCTGGTTGTTGTATCTTGTATCTGTAACAGGAGTCAGGACTCAGGAAAGGAAACTGAAAGTTAATCACAAAAAGACAGAAGAGAACATGCCAAAATCTGGTTCTGAGCACTACTTATTACTAGTATTAGTTTTTAGGAGGGGATAATCTTTGTATCATTGTATGTTCATAATACTCCAAATTACATTAAATAACTCTTTTAATGAAAGTGAACTAACATGTTTATTGCAAGTCTTAACACCAGTTTTGACTTAAGTTTGTTATGGGTTTTGTGCAATAAACTAGTGTAAGACTACATAGAGTCACTACATAGAATCTCAAGTTGAGTTTTGATTTTCAAGACTCAAACCTGCCAAGTGTTCATTTTTTATTGGTTGATTTTTATTTATATTTTATATCATCCTAAAAAAATGTAAAAAATGTTTGAAGATCTTTTTTAGTGAATCTAAAATGAATTCTTAAGAATACAGTGTTAAAGTAAAGAAAATCTAATGGAACATAGTTGATAGAGGTGATGAGAATCGATCTCAAGATCTCATAAAATCAGGAGGAACGCTCTAACTACTTGAATTAGACTCTCATTTTTTGGCTAATATATATGAGTATATGTCAATTTTAACTGTATATATCAAGTAGTAAAACTTTAATCAAGAAAAAGAATAAGCCACAAATTAGTGCGGTTTAAACTGTTTTGGTGAACAGTTATGCAACGGCCTACAAACTAGAATAGGCTAGGCCCATATTGTTGTTTGTCACCTTTAGATTTAGGTGCAATGGTGCATGTTTGCCAATTGCCGCTACGAATTTAGGCTTTAACCACCTCTCATTACTATGGCCCGATTGAATTGTCAACTAGCCAAACCAACTATCTAAAAAGCATTTTTTTTCTATAAAAAAAAAAAAAAAAAAAGCATTTTTATTTTTATTTTTTAATACTTTTTTTGAACTGATTTTTTTATCCTCCCTTTTTAATGTCAACTATGTAAATTGCCAATCCAACAATATAAATGCTTTCCGAGGCACTTTTAAGTTGATATCTAAAGTATCAAATTATTTTAATTAAATAATAATAATAAAATTAAGTTACAAAAAGTTACATAAAATTTTTTTGTCTGAAATGGGTGCAAATTTTTCATAGCTAAATTGATTATAAGTTTGTAACTTATTTTGCATGAAATGATCTAAACTTTTTTTTAGTATAAATTTATTTTATATACTTGACTCATAGTAATAGCTAGATAAGTCAAAATATATTAAGGATAATACAACTTTATAACTTTCCTTAAGAAGTGATGAAAAATCAATCTAAGAAAAGTATAAAAGAGTTGATACTTTGATTTGAAGGGTGATGAAGTACTAATAATATACAATGAAAGTCACGTGGGTAGGGGTTTGCAATTGTGCATCTAGCATTATTTGTAAGTTACACATTTCATACACAAGCTTCTTTCCTTTTTCCTTTATAGCTTCATCCCTCTGCATGTAGCTTTAAGGGTCCGTTCTCTTTAGCTTAATTTTAATTTATTTCAGTTCAGGTTCAATCAGTTTTCAATTCAGCTCAGCACAGTAAAATCAAAATATGCCTTAATTTTATCTAATTTCTTTGTTGAACTCCGAGTATGTTCTATTTACTTGACTTTAACTTGTCTTATCTTTATTTATTGTAAATTGTTAATTTACTTGAATTTATCAAACTTGTTAAACCTTATTATAACTTATTTTGTTCTAATTTAAATTTAAATACACTTATCTAAACCTGTTTTACCTAATCTTAGGGTCTGTTCTCATATACTGAACTCAGCTGAACTGAACTGAACTGAGCTGAACTGAACTGACTTTCAACGTAAGAGAACATACCCTTATTTTTACTAAACTTATTTTTACTAAACTTATTTTATCCGAACTCATTAGATAATAAATGAAAATAAGGCGAACAACAAGTCCACCCTTTATACGTAGTAGTTTATACCCACCAATTAACAAGAAAAATTAAATGAAAATAAGGCGAATAAAACAGCTCTTTCTTTTATACCCTCCAATTAACAAGAGAACAAACTAAGAGGGGTTGGAAGTTTGATGTTTGGCTAAAAGTTGTCAAGTCAGGGTTGAGGACCAAATCAACCCCATCAGCCTGGCAATTGGGAGGACAATTTGGACTATTTAAAGCCAAACGGTAAAGAATCCATGTAAAAAAGATTTTTAATTTTTGTTTATTTACTACTGTAGTACTTTTCAAGTGACATAAATGCCCTTTTGGATTTTTGGTTTCTCGTGAGATTTAATTTGATTCTTTAATTTGGGTGAGTTCGTTCTTTTGACTTGATTTCACATGATGTACAAACAGACGTACATACAGATACAGTACTCATTTGCTAATTTGGGGTTGAGTGGAATATTTGTGGTACTTAGACCCTTCAACTTAAACTAGGTTTTAGTTTGGCTTGGAATTGGGGCTCAATCCATTAATAACTCACTCTTTTGTCACAAATCATACGAAATATTGTCGACTTTTGTGGTACTCGTACATACTTGTATGTATCATTACTATCGCAAAGGGTACCGTGCTCCATTGCAATGCTTTTAGAGTTATAATCAATGCATTATATATGTACGCGACTTGTGAATACATATGTGTTTAATGCATGAATCATGAAAGTAGGATTAATTACAATGGTTTGAAATTTTATGCATTATCATTTGTTGTAAAGTGTGAGAAAGTTGATTTGAACTCATTTTAGGAAATATTTGCTTGAATAATTATGCTTAATTTTACTTATTTTCTCTAATTTTATTACTCTGCATATTTTCTTAAAAATGAAAACTTATTTAATTTGACTTTTATATTTGCAAATGCACAACTTTTCCAAATAACTTCCGGACATTTGATTATCTATAAGTCTAGTAAAAGTTGTAACAAATTGAAACTAATACTCATATTTTTAAAGTAAATAAACCGACAATTAATAAATATATATATTAAGATTTCATATGACTATGTTTCTTTTATGTTTAAATCGCAAAAAATTCAAAAGATCCATGTGTTTGAGAATTGCTTCAAAATGGTGGTTAGGTAAACTAAGCAAAGGTACTATCTAATTAGACATCATACTTGTTACATATTGTTTTGTTTAATATAGAAATGAGCTTGATGCACATCCGATCCTAAAGCCGACTGAACATGTTAAACTTTCAAGCAAGGGTTTGGGATATCTTCGTAAACTTGGAATTGTCATGAATTATTCCAAGTTTCACCAATTTTTTCATCATTAATCTCATACCTTGGTTATTATATACGGAAATAGTGTTCAACTTCGGTTTTTTCTAAAAATTGGTGATGTTATGGAAATTAAAGGTCAAAGTTTTACTTATTCTATAAACACCCTCTTTTCCGAGATACAAGAAGTAATGTTTTGCCTTGTTTTTAAGAAGGGCTTCAAGATTCTGGAAGTCACTCAACAATTCGATACAAGATTTGCATAAAATGGAGGAACTTAAAAATATGATTTGTTAAAACAAGATTCAATACAAGGTTACTCGACTCTAGATTTTTTAAGTACGTCTTAGAACTTAGTTACACTTGTTGTAAATGGGATGTGTCAGTGTCACTTTTGCATGTTATTCGTCCGCCAAATTTAGTTGATTGTACGAGAATTTAATATACTACTATACCACAAAAAAAAAAAAAAAAAAAAAAAAAAAAAAAAAAAAAAATCTCTTGTCAAAAAAAAAAAAATTATCATCAACGAACTAGTTAAATTAATTCATAAAATAAACCCCGAGCTAGTGCAAGAAGAGAGGAAAAACTAGCTAGAACATGTAGTACAAGTGAAAATAAAAAAGAGGTAACATTAGTTAAAAGATCAATGGTGGCTTGTATTGGGATGAAAATATTAGGGATCGAAAAGACGGTGAAGACACTTAGGGCCTATGTCTCTTACGTTGAAATTCAGCTCAGTTCAGCTCAGCCCAGTTCAGTTCAGTTCAGCTCCTAATTTCCTTCTCTTATAAAATATTCATTTCAGTTCACTTCAGTTCAGCTAAGTTCAGTCAATGAGAACAGACCCTTAAAGTCTGTCCTAATTAACTGAGCTGAATTGAACTTACTAGAGCTGAACTGAACTTATTAGAGCTGAGCTGAACTGAAATGAATATTTTATGAAAGAGGGAAATTAAGAACCGGACTGAATTGAACTTATTGGAGCTGAACTGAACTAAAAATAAACTGAAGAGAGCAGGCCCTTACATACATTGTGTGTCTATAAAATTGTAACTCTTTTATTCTTTACTTAATTTAAGTGTTGATGCCTCATGTTTTATATTTTCATCCTCAATCATGTTTCTCCGCCAAATAAACACCTTATAGAAAAATGACGATAACAATAATATACTTTTCATCAACTAGAGAAATAGTTGTATTCCATACAATCATATGAAACATCGTCCAATTCATTCACTAAGGCTCTGT